CTACAGCTGTAGGGCCAGCAACCCTGCGGGCTTTGACGAGGTGGATTATCAGTTACAGGTCTTTGGTGAGTACCGGGCGGATTACGGTATCAGTTATTATGTCCTTTGTGAGTACAGGGTGAATTATCAGTTACAGGTCTTTGATGAGTACCACACGAGTTATCAGTTACAGGTCTTTGATGAGTACCACACGAGTTATCAGTTACAGATCTTTGATGAGTACCACACGAGTTATCAGTTACAGGTCTTTGATGAGTGATAGGTGGATTGTCAGTTACTGGTCTTTGGTGAGTGATACGTGGATTATCAGTTACAGGTCTTTGGTGAGTAATGGGTTGATTATCAGTTACTGGTCTTTTGTGAGTGATATGAGGATTATCAGTTACATGTCTTTGGTGAGTACCAGACGGGTTATCAGTTACAGGTCTCTGGTGAGTATTGGGTGGGTTCAACGCCAGCTTTCAGTAGCTGGTCTTTGGTGAGTACGATGTAGATTATCAGTAACTGGTCTTTGGTGAGTAAAGGGTGGATTAAAAATAACTATATGTCCTTGGCGAGTACGTGGTGGATTATCGATTACTTGTCTTTGGTGAGTATGGGATTGATTATTAGTTACATAACTTTGGTTAGTGATAGGTATAATGGGACTGGGTGATCAGTCGAAGGTCTTTGACGAGTGCCGGGTGGATTATCAGTTGCAGGTCTTTGGAAAGCGATGGTTGTAGATGATCTTTTACAGGTATTTGGTGAGTACCGGGTAGATTAACAGTTGCATGTCTTTGATTAATATGCGGTGGATTTCCAGTTACATGTCTTTGGAGAGCCATGGTGGATTATCAGGTACAGGTCTTTGGTAAGCATAAAGTATGGTGGAGGTGGATCAACTACTCATCTAATTTTAACTCATGTCATCTTATTTTAAAAACAAATTTAACGTGACTTTTCAGTTGAAGTGGTTTTGATGGTCGAATTAATCAGACTTTGCCTCTCCCATAAAGTAAGCTTCTTGGAAGAAAGGCCGTTTGTGTATGATGCCATCGTTGTATTTAAAACGGCGTAAGTCTTACACGTACTGACTGTAATCCTCGATGTATTGTAAAGGATATAACTATGAAATACACTGTACTCCCTCGCCCCCCTTCCATTTTTTCTCACCTCCTTACCACCCCCGCCAACCCAAAAATAAACTGTACCCCTTTCCTTTCTCTCCATCTGTCCATCTCTCACCCTCATTCTC